TAACTGACTGGAAGTATGAACGGCATAATTATTCCTGGTAGGGCCGGCCCGGTGGCACACTGGATAGTGCGCCGCTTGGGAAGCGCGGCAGCGCTCCCGTCGGAGGGTTCGGATCCCACGTACAGACCGGCTCCGCTCACTGGCTGAGCGAGGCGCAGGAGCAACGCCGAGGCTTGCGATCCCGTCGCCGGTCCCCGGTCCGGTACGGGGGCAACACTGAGGGTTGCGATCCGTTGCCGGACACGGAAAAAAGACAAAAAGACAAAAAAAATAATAATAATTATTCCTGTTAGAATTGTTACATTTTAGACTTATGAATTCATATTAGCCTCAGAAATACAGACCAATTTTATTCTGGTAACACGTGCTATAAAAAGGTATAAACAAGAGTTTGTTGCTCAACAGGATCATCAAGTAAGTATTCAATTCAAATTGATATAGTTATTAACTTAATATGAATGGGCATGCAGGACCAATATAGCTCATTTTCTTAGAAATTCTATTTTATTAAAAACAAAATTATAGTTCCTATTGAATTATTATTATTGAATAACTTTATTATTAAAAACATAATATCCTTAAAATAATTTTAATTTTCTAACATTAAAAAATAAGCAGACACATGATTTATTATCTGAATTCTTACACAATTTAGTCCCAGTATACCTTCCCAGCTTCACAGTCCTCTGCTCCCATGTGTACCAATTATTGCTCCAGCCAACCAAAGACATGCGAAATCTTTGGAGCTACTGTCTTCCTTCTGTGTTTCTCTGAGGTGCTAATACTTCCACCTTGAATGATCTCTCCATAACAGTATTGTGTACCTCTATTTTGATAATGATTTTTACTTTGTATAATAATTACTGTTTACTGTAACTTTTCACTTATATATCAACAAAGTTAGTAGAGGAGGAGCCTTTCCTAGTTAACCTCTATATCTCTGGCAAAGATTACCCATATCTGTACACAGTATATCTCAGTTATTTTAACTGGGTCTTATTTACATTATGAAGCTATAGAGATCTTAGACTATAGATCTATAGATATAAATTAAAATGTTATTGAAGTGCTATAATACAAACAATCCTAACACGAAAAGTAACATTTTCATTATAAAGTACACATGGCATTTTTCCACAAACTTTTTGAAGTACCCTCATTTCTGTATATTTATGAATATAAAAACACTAGCACAGTAAACAAAAGGAAAAGTAAACACTATTCCTATCTTATTAAAAATAGCAAAGTCATGCTAGGAAGAGAAAAAAAAAAAGAAGTCAATCTTGGGAAATATTTCCAGGATACAACACAAAATTAATTTTAAATGTAAGGAAAATTTGATATGTAGACCAAATAAAAGATGCCTTTAACTCAACAGCACAATTCTGAATAATTACTTTAAAATGTATGGGTTTACATTGTAATGTAGAGACAAATAACTAGATATGATAACTTTATAAATTAGAGCCTACATTAAAATTATATTTTATCATTGTAAAAATAAAAACAAGCAGAAGTCCATTGTGTTTCTTTCTACTGCTAGACAGCCATAATTCACAGTACTTCCAAATTTCCAAAGTAGCTACAAATAAGGACATTGTTTGCTAGCAAGTATACTTATGGGTAAAAATGTTCTGCATATCATTTTCACATATATTATTCAAATGTGTCCTGGTGCCTGGAATCAGCCTTGAACTTCTCAATCTATTAATTCTAATTTTTTCTTTGAACTGAACTTTTAGAGAAACCCTAATTATTTTGTAACTTTCTATATGTGAAATCATATGAAACTAATAATGTTATCATATGTGCCACTAGATGAGCCCTGAAGAACATGTGGTGTCAAGCAGTTTCATAATGACAGCCCATGAGTCAAATACAGAGCTCTGACAACTGCTGGTGCAGTGTCATCTGAAGAGCAGGCATGCTCTGTCCACTTCACAGCAGGCCTCACCAGTTATTTCATACTACCAGACAGATTCACATATTTATGTTACTATATTATTCTCAGTAGGTATTTGCATTTGTAATCCCTCTATAAAAGTAAACCTAATATGGCCTAAATGAAAAAGAAATCCTTGGACATGCAGGAAGCTATACATGGCTATCTTCCTTGCCCCTGAGGGATAATTTCTTCATAAGAAGCTCTCCAGAATTTCTTAAATAAATGACAAGCTTCTTATGTCTTTGTGATGAATACACATACACACATATAGACTCAAAGCAGTATCTCAAAGCTTAATAAGCCTAAAGACAACTTGCACTGGAAAATTTTACATATGCTCTGAAATTGTTTATAGAGAAAAACTATACCTGAAAAATAGTAAAATAAAAATCAAGAGGATCAGGTTTTTTCTCTGCTTGATTATAATGCATTGAAAATATCAATCATTGTCAGATCAATAATCTCATTATCAGTCTCCTCAAACTGAGCTATAGATTCAACACAACCTCACTCTGATTTGATCAGACTTACATTTTTAAATGATCACTCTGAATGTTTGGAGTTTTCTTTAATAAAGTGTGACAGCTAGTTAGAAGCCTATTGCAATATTACATGGAGAGATAATGGAGGCCATGTGATATGGTTGGATTTGCGTACACGCCCCAAAATTATTAACAACATTTGTCTATGGAAAAGCCAACATTGTCTATGGCTATAAGAACTAAATTTGCCACATGCTGATGTTTGAGTCTTTCTATCAGTTTGGCGTATAAAATATATTTAATATTAAATTAAGTATACATATAACATAAAAGTATTAAAGTATTTATTGCTTCAACATGATTTTTAGGACAGATACAAATACATAGCCAGTTCAGAAAGAGAGATAAGCAAACCATAATTATGTAATTAAAGGCAGGAGAAACATTTTTAAAATAGGAGCTAAAACTGCATACTCTTGGCAACTGTTAATTACGGCCCCCTAGTCCAGAACACAGAATTGCAAGAAACGTCTGTTTCTTAAATATTTTTTAAGAGAATTAATTAAAACTGTCCAAGAAGCAGAGATACTAGCACAGCCAAAGCTGGAGAAAGTCTGTGTTATGCAGCATAGTTAAGGCTGATATTCAGATAAAAGGAAGTGTCTGTATTGAAGTGTTCATATTAAAAAGTTGCTGTTTTCTCATAACAGAATGGCAGAAAAAGAAGAGAAAATACAAGTTACTTTTAAAAGGCAGAGTTATCAGCTAATAGTTTGAGAGCTCTTGTAAGATGGTTTCTGAGAACTGCTTACATAGAATAGAAACAAATTCAAAAGAATGAGTGAAAAGTTTGATTGTGCTTATTTAAATAATTTAAAAACAAACTTCTAATTCTTTTGACAGTACAAAAGATATCCCAAAGTTTGGACAAGGACTATGTCATTTCCAAGTGATCAGACCCATTTGTAGATAAGAAATAGCCACATACTAAATAAGTGTTTAGAACAACCTAAGTACATGTGAATGTTATCGTAGGTATTTTCTAAATTTGAACAATGTCCATATTTTAAAAATAAGTTGCCAATAGAAGAATCAAGTATATAATTGGTGATCATTTTATCTGGATGAAATTTAAATTTTTTTTTCTTAACTGAAAAATCATTTTAGTAAAAATTGGAGAATGAATTGCAGTAGTGCAGAATATATGGGGAAAATTCAATCCTGCCTGCTGGTAGAGAATAGCGGATGTTATAGTGGCCTAAATCAAGAGAGAGTCTGATCAGAACAGGCTTCGATACTGTGTCATGGTAGGTTCACTGGTAACACATGTGTGATAATTATTTTTAGAGATTTAAATTTTGGCATGTCAGAGCTACTCTATATCTTTGAAAAAATAAAGAATAATATTTTGTATTTACAATTCACTTGCAAAACACAGAAATAAATATGTGTGCAGATGTTATTGTACAATTACTGCATTCTTCCAATACTAGAACTAATACTAGTTAATTCTAGACATTAGCAATTATATTAATCTGAAAAAGGTCAGGTCTTAGTTTACTAAATTAAGAACATTTATTTAATAGTGAAAAAATGAGATGCTGGGAAGTTTACAAACTCGGGGTAACCTTATGTTGTTAGAGTTTAGATATGAAAGCTATATTAATCCTTAAAATTGTAAAGCAGAATATAACAAAATTTATTTATATATTTCCCTATTTATGGACAGGCAGAAATCTCAAATCTATATACGTGTGGTCAAATCCCTGTTTATTTGGTAGTTTATCTCATTTTTTATTATTATTCATGGTCACAATTGTTTTGAACATTTGTTCAAATACGTTTTTTTGATATTAAAACATTGTTCTTGTTAATTTAGGTTTGTGCTTCTTTCTAGTTGTCAAAAAAAAACACTCAAATATCCCTACAAACTTCAATGTCTTTTTCAAGAAATATAGATTCATTTCATTACATAGGAATAATTCATATTACATTAGCTCTATGTAAAATTAACTCAATTTTTCTTTTTAGTAAGTAAGTTTTTAATAACTCATTAGATATGTTCATTTTTAACATTTTAATGCATTATTCTAAACTAAGTCAAAAACAAAAACGAATGAAGGAAATCAAAGACAGATTTTTCCTAAAACTAATTCCAAATAAAATTCAAATAGATTCCTCATTTCTTTAAACGTTGTTTATCCTTTCAAATGGGGGAATCAAAATCTCTCCTTTTAAGAAATATTTTGTCCAAAATCCAAATCAGTCCACAAAATGTACAATTATGTACTTTATAGTGAAATCTAGTTAAACCTATGGGTAGAGAAATACATTAGGATACATTAAGTTAAAAAAATGTTTTGAAGAGTTAACATTTTAAATTAAATACCACATTAAAAACAAAGTTGTCGTTCATATTACAGTCCTCTGATCTTTCAGTCAAGCACATATTGCTTTGTAAAAGGCCAGATTTGGAGAAACTGTCTTTTCAAATAGCTAAACTATTGCATGGTCCCTAAATTAGGAAAGTATCCTAGCAAAGTAGGGTGGAAATACTATACCTTAATTCCTACCTGGGTAAAGAAGGGTTCATAAATCTCAACTCCTTTATCAGATCCTTGTAGTAACACCTCCTGGCCACGTCTCCAGCTGTACCGAACAGGAGGATTGGAATTGGCAACGCACCGGAGGAACACTGTTCTCTCATAATAAAATTGTTCTTTAGCTTCACCTATACTTTGATGAACAGTTACTACTGGATCATCCAAATCTAGAAAAAATAAAAACAACCAAGTGACAATATTGAGTTAAATGGCTTTTAACTTATACATCCCAACTAAAGATGCATATTCCTAACTGATCGTACATATTACTTATCACTAGACTCATTTTTTTTTTCATTCAGCTTATTGAACTCAGTTGCAAGAGAATTTCCAAATAAGAAGTAGAGAAAAGTAATAATTATTTCTTAAGATCTCTGTTTGTTGAGAGAGTACAAATGAACTTATATGTTTCTCTTTCCCAACAGCCACATAAAACAGAGCTCCATGAGAGAGATGAAAATTCAAAACCCTCAGATTCCAGATTTTGACCAAAACAATGAATCACAGAGAAGTTAATATCAAACAGCTCAATTGACTCTTCCATTTAATGTACTTATTTTACCAATTTTTTATAACAAATATATTAAAAACATTCAAAGAATTATGTTTACAAATTATTATAATCTTGATAGTAACAAAATATGATCTTACACTGGGTTAAATTTTACCTTCATCTCAAATTTTATATTCCATATTATATTGGCTAATTTGAAATGTGCTAACAAAAGGCACTAGTAAAAGGCATTCATATTTCTATTGCTGGAACATTGGAAGTTAATATGTGCCATTTTACATATATCCTAAAGAAGGCCTCTATACCATAAGGTTTAGCATTTTCTGGAAAAGGCCAATTCATAAATGCCTTGGGCTATGCGGGTCGTAGGGTCATTGTCTCAACTACTCAACTCCACTATTGTAGAATGAAAGCAGCAAAGACAACAGGCAAATGAATGAACAATGAAGCTGCTAAGTTCCAGTTATATTTTATTTATGAATATAGGTGCCCCCAACCAGATTCGACTCATGGACCATGGTTTGCTAATTCTTGATATAGCATATACCAGCTTCTTTTCTTAAAATAAAAAAGAGATTAAAAAGTGTGCCTGCCTTAAAGCAACACTAAACTCTTAGTTCCATACACTAGCACAAACCTAGTATATATTTATTGTGTGATGCAAACACCTGCTGTATTAACACCCAGCTTTACCTTTTACTTTTATAACCATGAAAGGTTACCTAACCTCTGTAATCTTCAATTTCCATATCAGTAAAATGTGAATAATAATACAATATTACAGGCTGTTGGTAGATTAAATGAGATAGTCCAAAAAGTCCTGGGCATGTAGTAAATGCTCAATAAAATTTATTGCTACTACTACTACTACTACTATTATTATTATTGTCATTATTAGGGTCTCATTTAAACTCCCATTGATTTCATTTTGTTTTCTTACTTTATGTCACCAATTCATAATGCACTCAACTCTCATTACAAGTAGGTAGAAATGTTGCTTGCCCATTTATTCAGGCTATCAAATGCTTCTACATGACAAGCACTTGTAAGTGAAAACCTGAAAAGAATCTACAATATTTATATAGACATAAAAACAGCAAAATGTGTGAGCATATGCTACCCTGAATATTTTTTAAAAAAACATTGTTCCTTAGAATAGATTTCTTTTGATGTGTTAAAAATAATAAAAAGCCAACGAAAGTTGTAATAGCTGCCTTGTGGAATCAAAGAATCCAAAATTTCCCCATTTTTTAAAAAGTTTTTTTTTTTTTTTTTCAAATGTGAATTTCTTGACAGCCTTATTTTGATTCCTAGCTTTCCAACAATCTGAGGGGTTTTTTTCTTCCAACATTAGAATCTTTTCACAGCTACCTCAAAGGCCTCTAATTTTAGTAGTGTAAATTTACAGAGCAACTGCTTCTTTTGGTAGAGTAGGAAACTTTCACTTTAAATTCACTTTGTTAGCTGTGCAGGGATATACACTGTCTGGTTTTAATAAGTTGGGATATTTAGGGATACCAGCATTATTATCATGAAATATTTTAAGCTTTTGAAAATCTATCAGATATTTGGTTATTTAGTAATTAGTCCTTCATATATATATCAAATCCTACAGGACATTGATTAACTGAATTCAGCCTTAGTGACATGAAGAAAGATACTTTGAGTCAATTGTAAACAATTATTTTCTTTCTTGTTCAAACCATAATTTCTTTTAGGAGGCTCAGTTTCAGAAGATATGAGCTGTATTATGTTGCAAAAACAATATTCTGAAGCCAGAAAGCTTAGAAACAAAACGGAATTAGATGGCAAACAGTGACTGTTTTGGGTTCCTAACAGTTAATACTATTAAACCTTCCAACGTCCATTTTTTGATGTATCCGTGGCTTCTTTCTTGTTACGTGGCAATGTCAATAGGCTTGGTCAGGAATAGACTAAACCTGAACAGTCATTTAAACATGCTCTTCCTTGGTCTGGATGAGTTTCGGGTCACTCGCCTTCTGAGAATCTAATCCTGTGACAATGGCTCACTGAACATTCTATTGACTAAATTATCTGTTGCATTCACTCATGTTTAGAAATTTCTACTTCATACATTTCATCAGTGATTTTTTTTCCCTTTTAGATTTAAAAACTAACATGCCAAAATGAGATTTGTTTTAGACAAGTCAAATAATGGCATGGTTAAAATATTTAATTTAAGGGATATCATACATATATGTGTCTGTGTGCATGTGTGTGCATGTAATAACATATAGTTTAAATATATATAAACATATATATCACTTAAAATATATTTTAATATATCCTATATATTACTAAATATATACTGAATATATGTATTTGTCTTAGGTCAGGTTTCTAAGAGCCTCTAAGACTCAGATGTGTAAGTCTGAAGTGTATTGGGAAGTACCTTCCAGATCAACACACGTGGAGGTGTAAAGGAAGTGGGATTGGGCAGGGGGAAGGCTGAACTACAGTGCACTTGCAGCAAAGGTCTCAGTAGTTTTGGAGAAGTTTTGGAGCTGTGATGTTCACTCAGACATGTCCTGTCCTGAGGCAATGGGGCTAAACCTTCATACACCAACCCTTTGCCCTATCACCTAGTCATTGAATTTGTGCTACTCCTCAATAGGGGGAATGGCCTTAGGTGGAGCTCCTCCATTTGGCTTAAGTCAACTTCTAGAGAGGAACTTAGCTGATAGTCATCAGTTGCTAATACTCTCATCAACTGGAGGAATGAGTGCCTTGTTCCTGATGAGGGGTCTGGTAGGTGCCCTATAGTATCCACTCAGATCTGCATGCTAGGTGTGGCAATTCTATCTGGGAGAAGCTACTCCAGGATTCTGGTTAATCTCTTTGCCTAGGAAAACATTCTAGATTCCTCTCACCCTAGGCTAGTACATCACTTGGTGTAGGCAGCTTATCTAATGTAGTTACCAGAGCTTCAATATTGAAAATTTTGAGATTTTGGTTACCATATCCTTCTCAGAGCATGACTGGTGCACTTGTCTGTTTGCCACCAAAATTGGACAAGAGAACAAATACCAAGAAATGACTTAGTGGATCAATTAGGTTATCAAACATATTCTTTACTGCCTCACTACATATCAATAGTCTTACTTCCAGCAGATCATAAAGGCTAGTTACTCCTGCCAAAATAGTGGCTCCTCTTATTTGCTTTTTCGTGATACAAGATGCCTAAATAGCAGCCATGGCTTAAAGATGAATGAGACTTTACTGTGTCACTTAAGAGAAGCTTTTTTTTTTTTTTTTCGTTTCTGGGAACTCAGACCTCAAAACTGCCAGAGCCCAGAGTTATAAGAAGGGAAGCGTAGATTCCCCAAATGGGTCTTTGGATGTGATGGTAGTGTGGTCATTCTTTGGTTCTTGGCCCTATGTATTCTACAGAAAGAAAAAAAAAATAGCACCACATAATAATGGTCATTGATTTAGGATTTAACTGCATCCTGGCGGATAGCACCCAAACCTCACTGGATAGTATCTTTGCAAGTCTAAGCTGCTCTATCAAAAGGACATTCTATCACTTTATTAAGCTGCCATTTTAGGTGATGTAGTAAATGATATGACCAGATAATCCCATGGCAATGTGTCCAATGTGGAATCCTATGTACTCAGGTCAACTTGGATCCTACAACAGTCCTCAAATGTTTCAGGAGTCTCCTTTTACTAGTATATGGTTATGCAAGTAAATGGATGTAGGCTGTTTGTAGAAAAATCTGGGAGAATCATTTCTATTTGTATTTGCTATAGTGTTTCAGGGTTCTTTCTGTTGATTCAGTTGCCCTTTTAGTCAATGAGTTCAAGGTCTGAAAATTGCCTTGATTTCAGATATTGGGCAAGGAGTCCTGGTCATCATTTTTATTGATTTTACTTATGTAGACTGTACAATATTTTGATAGCTGTCCACTTCTTTTGCCCCTAGAGATGCTGTGTCCTATTAATCATTGTTGTAGATTGGGTGCCTTCCCCACTGCCCAACCTCATTGAGGCTTAGTCCCCACTGTAACTGCTGAGGGTGGGAGATCCTACTATGGTAGTTGAAAGGTGGGCCTTGAAGAGGTGATTGCATTGTAGGACCATGCTCTAGTGAGTGGATTAATAGTGGTGGCCAGGGGCGTGGTTCTGAGGGCTTTAACAGAAGAGCACATGAAAGGTCAGTCTCTTCCTCTGCTCTGCCTTTTTTCTGCCATGTGAGACCACTGGGTCACTGTCGCCACCACTGAGACCCTCACCAGATGCGTTCTCTGAACTTTGGACTTTCCAGTCTCTGAAACTGTAAGCAATAAATTTCATTTTCTTTATAAATCACCCAGTTCCAAATATTTTGTTACAAGCAACAGAAATGGACTAATACAACCATCTTCACAGTTCTCAGTGAGTCTAGAGTCCTAGATGCATTTGAACTAGCTGCTTATTAAGATAATTGTGTCTACCTTGCTTGTGACAGCTAAGCACTGCCACCTGACTCTATTAATAATTTTGAGATTCTTTCATCTTCATTGCTATCAGAGAGCCCAATTCTGTAATAGCATTTCCTGTCATCAGCATTTGCCTACAGAAGACACTCACCACTGAGTATCTCAATGACACTTGTGACTCAGTCATCAGGACTTCTTAGTGCTTTAGCCA